GTTTTTCTATTTTAATATACATTAAAATCTAATTTATTCCTGTGATGCAAAGCTGAATTTTCAGCATCATTACTCCAGTCTTCAGTGTCACATGATCTTCAGAAATCATTCTAATATGCTGATTTATTATCAGTGTTGAAACTGATGCTGCTTAATATTGTTTTGGAAACTGTGATACTTTTTTCAGGATTCTTTGATGAATAAAAAGTTAAAAAGAAGAGCATTTATTTAAAATAGAAATATTTTCTAACAATATACACTAGTGTTCAAAAGTTTGAGGTCAGTATATTTTTATTCTTTCTTTGTTTTGAAAGAAATTAAAACTTTTATTCAGCGAGGACGTGTTAAATTGTTAAGAAGTGATAGCAAATATTTATATTGTTAGAAAAGATTTATATTTTGAATAAATGCTGTTCTTTTTAACTTTTTATTCATCAAAGAATCCTGAAAAAAGTATCACAGTTTCCAAAAATAATACTGTGCAGCACAACATTGATAATTCTAATAATAAATCAGCATATTAGAATGATTTCTGAAGATCATGTGACACTTTACACTGGAGTAATGATGCTGGAAATACAGCGCTGCATCACAGAAATACATTATATTTTAAAGGATATTACAATAGAAACCATTATTTTATATTGTAATAACATTTTGCAAGATTACTGTTTTTTCTGTATTTTTGATCAAATAAATGCAGCCTTGATGAGCAGAAGAGACTTACTTACTGATCCCAAACTTTTGAACAGTAGTGTGTATCCTGCTGACAAAGTCAGTTTAGGATCACTTCGATTAATTTTATTAAAAATAAAACGTCTGTCAATTACTGTATCTGTTATTATATCGTGTTTTATCTAACCGTAACCCAGCTGACATGGCAGACATCATCTGAGAGCATAATGTTTTAAATGCATTACTTCGGGGATGAAGATGAATAGCTCAGAGCAGTGGGTCGCAGTGAAGTGCCATGTTTTCGAGGTCTTTCTCTCGTGTTGAAGTAGCAGTAGTGCAAAAGATGATGTGGGATGCTTCACTCAAAAATGAAAGTTCTGTCATCATCACCTCTCTCACATGTGGCTCCAAACCTGTATGGAACGTGATGTTTCAGCCTTATTTTTACATTGAAGCAATGGTGATTCTGACTGTCAAGCTCTAAAAAGGACGGGAAAGTACAGTACATGCAGACTCTTTCCAAAACCCCTTTGTTTTCCATGCAAGAAGAGAAGTTTGGAGCGACGTTGGACACTAGATTGTGACCGATTTTAATTTTAACGTGAACTTTGCCTTTCTGTCGAGCATAATGGAGAACTGAAGAGCAATGAGATCAGTGAGATTTTAGATCATGACACTAATTCATGAGTGAAAGCTTCAGTGCATCGCTCTGAACAAAAGACGTAATAAATGTTCAATGCTTGTTCATCTTTAGAGACTCTTGTGGATAAAGTTACTTTGTCATTTTTGTGCACATCAGGTCTATACTAGCTTTCTAAATACAGGATTTGTCTTACATCAGTATTCACATTTCTACACACTTCACATTTTTTATTTATTATTATAAAGATATCCCTTCACCTCATTAAACCATATACTGCCACAAAATACACGGCAAAACAAAATTAGTTTTTATTAAATGTCTGTGTGTTTTTGCATATATTATAGTTTTGTACAATCTAGTTTACAAACTGTACTTTAATCAGTTTAAGAGTTTGTACTAATTATACTAATTAATTTAACACATGAGATATTAAAACATCATAAATTATCATTCGAATAAATAATAAAAAGGACTGGTCACTACAGGATGCTCTAACTAAACACTGCACGATAAAACATATTGATTTAATAAATCTTAAACCAGTTCCAGGTGGATTTAGTAGCTGTTGTTGTGTAGATATTAATGTTAATACAACGGTCAGAACCTTTATTGTCAGTGAAGGACTTCAATAACATATTTGTGATACATATGACGGAACTATGGGAGAAAAGGTTAATGTTACAGAACAATCAATGGCACACACAAATGATACAGTGTGTCATTCTGACCATATTTAACTTGGAAGTATATAGGCACGACTTGTAGTTTTCCACTTTAAAGATCATTGTGTCCAATGGAAATGTTTCAAGGATGTTAAAAGTTTTTCAGTGAAGTTTAGATGCAAATAAACAACCTTGCCAAAAACTCTGGACTAACAGGATAGCCTACATACAGAAATAAAGCATTACACATGCAGAACAGCAACACATAAAAATAGCAAACCATAATTAATACGAGTGATCAACTGTATTAATATAATTAATAACTGATGTAATTAATACTTGCAGGATATTAGCAGTGCACTAACATTAAGAATCTAGAAACAATAGTTTCTTTTACATAATCCAATCAAAGTGTTGAGGGCTGAGTAACAATGCTGTGAATTGATTCAAATTTATTAAAATGATAGTTTACCCAAAAATCTAAATCCTTCATACCGCATAACATGATGGAGTTTATTGAAGAGGAGAACAATGATAATACATGCCATGAGTGTGGAAAGAGCTTCACAAGTAAAAGAAACCTAGAAGAACACTTGAGAGTTCACACCGGAGAGAAAGCGTTCACATGTCCTCAGTGTGGAAAGAGTTTCTCACGTAAAGGAGTCTTTCTGATTCACATACGCATCCACACCGGAGAGAAGCCGTTTGCGTGTCAGCAGTGCGGAAAGACTTTCACGAGTCGAGGAACCCTTAACACTCACCTAAGGGTTCACAGTAATAAGAAACCATTCAAGTGCCCCGAGTGTGAAAAGAGCTTCAGACGTAAAGACCACTTCAATTGTCACATGAGGGTTCACACTGGAGAAAATCCATTCTCTTGTCCTCATTGTGGAAAGTATTTTTTAACTAAAGGCAACCTTGATAGTCACATACGCATCCACACCGGAGAGAAGCCGTTCACATGTGATCAGTGCGGGAAGAGTTACAAATGGTCAAATAGTCTCAGAATTCATAAGCGCTTTCACTCCGGAGAAAAGCCATTTAAGTGTGATCAGTGCGATAAGAGGTTTGTTCTGGAATCAGACCTGAAGGCCCACATGAAAACGCACACTAAAGAGAAGCCTTACTTGTGTTGTGTTTGTGGGAAGAGTTTTGCATGGCTGATCCGTTTTAAAGACCATCTGAAAATACACTCTGGTGTGAACGAGCATTGCACTGATGCACAGAAAGAAGCACTGCCCAAAATTAAAGTCCATGTGAGAAATAAGAGCTCAACGGTTAATGAGCGCTGAATTATTGCCCTTGCTTTACTTTATCCTGTCATTTGGGATTCAGAAGGTGAACAATGTTCAAACACACCTAAATGAGCCTGCTGTCTTTCACATACTGATCTGTGTTAAAGTTACAAATCTTCATTGATTTATGATTGTTGGTACACTTGCATTGCTGTAATTGTTTCACTGCTGTTTGAGGTTAATCGAGTCAGTGAAATCATTGACTGAAAAGGAACAGAATGAGATCCAGCTTCTGTTAAATCATCCACTTATAGAGATGTACTTTAATTAAAGCAAATATTGCATCATGAGCACTGAACCCGAGTCATTCTTCAGAAAAAAATCTGTCCTTAAAGAGGTGATTTGTCTTCTGATTAAAATATCTTGAAAAAATGTCTTACTCAGACCAGCCAATTACTAACGTTAATTGATTTGAAACAAAATGTTTATTCATTTGTAATCATTAATCATGGATTGTTCTCATTTGCATGTATTTTACATCAAGTACAGCTCAGGTTTCCATAGACCCTGAAACACACAATATTGACAATAACATAAATATCATCTACAGATATTTATGAATCTTTATTAAATCAATATAGTGTTAACGGAATTAATCAGTTTCATTCTATTGTGTTAATGTTGGTTTTCTATTGTCCTCTTGCATCATTGACACAATCTGTACTGTATAAAGCGCTGTATAAATAAAGCTCGACTTGACTTTATAATCAATTAAATTAATTATATTTTCAGTGCCATCACATTTATTTAATGCATTTGACACAATTACTTAATTTAAAGTGATCACATTTTGCTATGTTCTGTGTGACCTTTGCTGCCATCTTCAACTCTTTTCAAGGGATTACATAAGTTTACACAACACTTTAAAGTATGGCTTTGCTATTAGACATTAGTGGAAAAACTCTAAAAGCAAATATTGTACTGGCTTTCCTGTGTGACTAGAGTTTCTGTTGCTGGTCTTTCATTTCGACATGCACAGACAGAACCAAAGTCTTTTCAGTACATATATAGGCTACGCTGCAGTAAAAATGGGTCTAGCAATGCCTCTGAGTGTTAATGATATGAACAAATGAACTCTGACCAAATATTTACATGCCTCTGATACGTGTTACTGTGATTCATAGCAGTGAAAACGAAAGTGAAGGTATTTATTGGGTGGATGCTCTGCTCTTGTTTTGCATGAAGTAGCCTAGAAAAGTTTAGGTCAGGTCTTCACAGGCTTCACTTCAGATCGTATGCTGTGCTGTCAGGGTCTTTTTTGCTACTCAGAAGAATTTGGTAAGAAAGATACAGCCTAATCGGCTACATTGCAATGCATTTTTATTGTTTCACTGATCTTCTAAATGTTTGTAGAATTTTTTATTTTTTTTACTTTTTGCGCGATATAAACTCGTAATTTTGCGAGATATATACTAGCTAAAGTCCGAATTGCGAGACATAAATACGCAATTCTGAGAAATAAAGTCAGAGATTTTATATTGCGAAATTCTGAAATTATGACTCGCAATTTCGAGTTTATGTGTCAGGTTTATATCCCGCAATTCTGAGAAAAAATAAGAACTGGGAGATAAAAAGTCGCATTTACCTTGTTTAAGTTTTTTATCCAGTGTCGGAAACGGGTTTCCATAAATGTAACATGCATGATGAATCAATTAGGGTTCACATTCTAAGGGTAATTATGCATTTATTTGCACATCTTGATTAAACTTACTTCAAACTTTTCTTTGAACAGCAGTGAATTTCACATTTGTGAAGGAAACAACAGCACGTGGAACGTCTTCTCAGTCGAATAATCCTTCGTGTCTCGTGCTCTGAAGCAAAGGTGAGATTGAAAACATGCAAGAGTCCATACCAATTCATCGTTTTATTTTTGCATTTTCATTTAAGATGTACATTTCAGAATCAGAATCAGAATTAGCTTTATTCGCCAAGTGTGTGCAAACACAAGGAATTTGTTGTGTTTTTTTAGGAGCTCATGTTACATACATACGTACATATGACATGAGAACAGAAAAAAAACAATTAAATAAGTAAGACTAAAGAAAAAAACAAATAATAATAATGTGGTAAAATTTGGAACAGAAGATTTATGTACAGATGTGTGCATTATTTACTGTACAGTTGTATAAATAAAAATATGCATATGTATTTACATAATACTTGAAAGACATTTCAGATTGATGTGTACATTTACTTTGCAGAAGCACAATACCCCTTACTTTGAAGTGTGCAGGGCAATTCATTTTGAACTTGAACAATTTGTGAAATATATTTGTATTGAATATACATTAAATGATTGAATATACAGTATGAATGAATCATATGTCTTGAAAGGATCTATAGAGAGAGAAACTGAGAAATACCTTAAATGATAAAATGTTTAGTTGACGGACCATTTGACCTCCCAACAGATAAAACAGGACATCACATTTTAGTTAAAACTGGCCAGTACAGAGAAAGTGGCATCTGACATTTAAAATAGGCTTAAACTGTTCACTCGCACTGCGTTAACCTTAACGCTATGGGGAACTCTGGAAAGCCTGATTTTATAACGTTTGTGTAGCTGCACTAACAAATGGCATTGCGAATTGCGAATTGCTTTCTTTACAGATAGCGACCCCACACTTGTGCTCCTCTGTTTTCTTCCTCTCAGGAGCCTCGGAGGAGAAAATGGTGGAGTTATGGGGCAAAGCAGACAGCTCCGAGTGAGCTCACGACGACTCAGATCCCGTGTTTTTCACTCCCCCCACAGTGAGAGGATTCCTCTGTGCTCTTTTGCCATGAGGACCAGCGTCCCTTGTCAGGTGTGAGCGGTTGGTCCTTTTTGGGGTTTTCTGAGGAGGATTTTGCTGATGATACTGTGTCATTGACAGCTTCTGATGCAGAGGATTGGGTGAACTCTGTGAAGGACTCTGTCCCCTTGCCGCATAGAGAACCAAGTGATGCCAGAACCGGTCTGGACACCGACTTATACTAGTCCTCATAACGGCCGTTGAGGAGCTCAGCTTGTAGTGGTCAGCTCCAGATGAGCCTGCCACAGCTGACTTGATTAATGGTTTCTGCAGCCTGGGTACTGCCAGTGAGCTCCAAGTCAGAGACCTGCCCTGTTCTTTCCTGAAGTTCACAATGAACTTACTAGGTCTTGGCATGCCCCCTTCTCGGTCCACGTCCACTTTTCAGTCTCCACCTTCACCTCCGCTGACAGCGCAGAGCAGAAGGTGCATGCTCTTCAAGTCGCCAGAGGGCCTCATTGACAAACTTCAGTCCAGGGCAAAGATACTCATGTTCTCTTATCCAGAATACAGTATCTGCTGGCCAAGTGCCAGAGTCCCATCAGCTCTCAGTGAGTCAGGCTTTTACAGCCACTACTTCGTTGTTTCTAAGAAGGACAGTTGCCTCAGGCCCATTCTCGATCTGAGGCACCTGAACCGTGCCCTGATGAAGTGGCCATTCAGGATGTTGACTTTGAATTAGATCCTTTCGCATGTTTGCCCAGGGGACTGCTTCTTATCGGTGGATCTGAAAGATGCTTACTTTCATATCCAGATATCCCTTCATCACAGACCGTTCTTGAGATTTGCATTCAAAGGGGTGGCTTCATATACAGTCCTCCCATTTTGACTGTCTCTGGCACCATGCAACATTACGAAGTGCATGGACACGGCCCTCTCTCCTCTGAGACAGAAGGGAGTGTGCATCATGAACTACCTCAATGACTGGCTCATCTTGGCCAAGTCGGATCACGAGCTTGTGCCCACAGATCTCTGCTCCTCAGCCACTTGGAACGCCTGGGGCTCAGGATCAATTCAGCCAAGTGCTCCCTGTCTCCCAGCCAGTGAATCGCTTTCCTGAGAACAGTTATAGACTCGGCCCAGATGCGGGCCTGGTTTGCGCAGGAATACGCTCTGAATATTCAGTGGCTTGTGGCATCATTCAAAGTATGGGTCTCTCTTCCCCTCAGGACATTACAGAGGATGCTGGGCCTGATGGCAGCCGCCTCCTCTGTGGTTCCGCTGGGCCTGCTCCACATGCAGCCCCTTCAGTACTGGCTGGAAGCCTGTGTGCTACGCTTGATGTCTGGGACACCTCCAGCTCAGGGTAACCCACAACTGTGTCAGGGCTGTGGCCCCTTGGAAGGCCCCTTGCCTGTATCAGCTGGGACTGGTCTCCAGAAGGAAGATAATCATGACAGATGCTTCCAACTCAGGTTGGGGAGCACTGAACTAGAGCAGACTGGCATTCGGCTCCTGGCCCAGCTTGGAGCAATGCCAATGTATCAACTGCTTGGAAATGATGGTGTTATTTTCTGGCTCTCAAAACCTTCCTGCCAGCCCTAAAGGGGTGCCACGTTCTGGTCCGTTCGGAAAACGTGGCCTACATAGACCACCAAGGTGGTCTTAGATCATGGCCTCTTTACAAGATGGTGTGGCGCCTCCTCATATGGGCATAGAGCAACCTGCACTTTCTGAAGGCAGTGCACGTGCTGGGCAATTTGAACCAGAGAGCACTCTGGTGGAAACAACATTGGTTCCCCGAATTAGTACAGCTGCTGTCAGCAGCCCCTTGGCCGATAGCGCTGAGGAAGGACCTCTTCTCTCAGGCAAAGGGAGCAATTTTGCACCCCAACATCTAAGGCCCCTCGACAGGACCCTCTGCAGCTTCAAGTAAGGGTCATTAAAACCATTTCAGAGGCCAGAGTCCTGTCTACTAGACATCCCTATGCCCTCAAGTGGTCCATCTTCTCTGACTGGTGAGCAGTCTGGAATGAAGACCCTTTGTCTTGTGACATTACGTCCATATTGTCCTTCCAACAAAAGCTTCTGGATAAGGGGCGCACCCCTTCCACACTCAAGGTATATGTGACGGCTGTTGTGGAAAACCAAGCTCCCTTGACCGGCCAGTCAGTAGGAAAGAACAACTTCATGAAGTTGTGAAGTTCTTGAGGGGAGCCAGGGGATTAAATCTTGGCTGTTCCAACTGGGACTGATCCACGGTCCTCAGGGCTCTTTGAGGTCCTCCGGCTGAATTGAGGCCCCTTTCGCTTAAGACCGTCCTCCTGCTGGCTTTTGCATCGATCAAGTGAGTGAGTGACCCGCAGGCACTCTCTGTGGGCCTAACAACCGCAAAGTCTTCCTCAAGCCAAGACACTGCTATGTGCCTAAGGTGCTCTCTACTCCATTCAGAGCACAGGTTATTACCCTCTCAGCTTTTCCAGCTTTGGAGGATGAGCAGGGTGTACAATTACTCTGCTCAGTTCGGGCTCTCGGGATATACAGTATGTGAAGCATTCTAGCCAGTCTCGGCAATCAAAGCAGCTCTTTGTGTGCTTAGGAGGCCGCTCTTGAAGTTATGAAGCAAAGATTATCCCACTGGATAGTAGATGCCATAGCGCTGGCTTACACCTCATTGAGCTTACAGTGCCCCATTGGAGTGAGGTCCCACTCCACCAGGGGTATGGCCTCCTCCTAGGCATGGTCCAGCAGAGTTTCCATTGGCGTTATCTGTGCATCAGCCGGCTGGTCTTCGCTGTCTACCTTTTCTAGGTTTTACAACCTTCAGCCATGGATTTTGCCCACCTAAACAACCTATGCCCCTGCTGGTGGTCAGGCCTGTTTTGGCCATTTTTGCCCTGAGGACTCCAGCCTCATGGCCTGGGTCTCACTGATTCTGGGTTAGTTCCGGCCTAATATTAGCCCACACAACCCTGGACGGCTTTTCGTTCTGCGCTTGTAGCATGGAACTATTGGATATTGTTCCCCATAGCGTTAAAGCTAATGCAATGTGAGTGAACCATGTTGATAGGGAAAGCTCCGGTTACTAACGTAACCTCAGTTCCCAGAGATAAATATTCTGATGAAATGGCACTCAGCACCAAGCGGCAACCTCCCGCTCTCTCTCGTGAAGCCAACACGGAAGTGACTAAAACTGTAATTCATCGACTGGCCGCTAGAGGCTGGCTGCAAAAGAGAGTCAGTCCCATAGACTCCTCATGTTAAAATGCCCAACATTACAGCAGAAAAAAATATGTTTACAGCCTGGTACAAAAAATGATTTTGGTCTATATAGCTAATTTTGCCCTTCATGACAACTGTGAGGGGGTGAATTTTTTTATAACTCATCCGTTGAACTTATATTAAGCCTTAAAGTTCTGCATAATTAAGGGTGTGGCCACTTGAGTGACAGGTGGATTGCCGCTGCTGTCACCACCGTTGAGCTAGGTGGGCGTGGCTTCAACAACCAGCTCTTTGCCCATTTTCGATTATCCGGGAGTGACGTGCTGTGATGCGCTGCCAAGATGTGACGGCCGGCTCCGCCTACTTTAGGCTTCAAAACCGCTCTTCAGAAACCTACGGGTGACGTCACGGACACTACGTCCATGTTTTTATACAGTCTATGCTCAGCACTGACTGAGACAAAATGCAGGTTGTTTGTGCAGCTACATGGATGTTATCAAATCAGACTTCAGTATTTTGGAGAAACGGAGTTCCCCATAGTGTTAAAATTAATGTAAGGCTCATTCTCATTATCTCAGGGAACCAAGTTTACGTTAGTTACAGAGCCATTTTTGCTACATATTTTCAAAAGTTTCTTTTTATTACATTGCTGAATTTGACGTGATTGTTTTTTAGATGGCTATGTTTGATGATTTCGATATAATAACTCAGAAGGACCTGGAAGATATTAAAGAATCCATATCTACTCAGGATCTTCCAACAGCGGTAAACGCGATCAAAGAATTCCTTGAAAAACAGGATCTGGTAGAACTTAACGTTGGTGTGACGGGGGAGTCCGGTTCTGGAAAATCCACGTTTGTCAATGCATTCAGGGGTTTAGGGGATGAAGAAGAGGGCTCTGCTCAAACTGGCCCTGTAGAAACCACTATGGAGCCTAAAGCTTATCTTCACCCAAAATACCAAACTGTGAAAGTGTGGGATCTTCCTGGCATTGGACCACCAAACTTCAAAGCCGATGAGTACCTTAAGCTTGTTGAGTTTGAGCGCTATGATTTTTTCATCATCATCGCTTCAGATCGGTTCAGAGAATGCCACATTCAGCTGGCCGAAGAGATCACGAGAATGGAGAAAAGGTTTTATTTTGTTCGTTCCAAGATTGAGTTAAGCATTGATGCTGAGAAGAGGAAGAAGAGCTTTGACCAGAAAAAGACATTGGATATCATCCGAGAGGACGGTGAAAAAGGTTGGTTATTCAGGTCACATAACAATGTTTTTTATTAGATACAGTAATTATTATAAAATATTTAATGACTTATTTCATGATGCACTTTCCTGTTTCTGTCTAGGTCTGAGAAAGATCGGTATAGAGGATCCTGTCGTGTTTTTGATCTCTAGCTTTGAGCTCGGCAAGTATGATTTAAATCTGTTGCAGGAGAGAATGGAGCAAGAGCTTCCACAGCATAAGAGACGTGTGCTGATGTTGGCTTTGCCGAATATCACACTGGAGATCAATGAGAAAAAGAAGAAAGCTCTAGAGGAAAACATTGGAAAAGTTGCCTTACTGTCTGCTTTGGTGGCTACAGTCCCTGTTCCTGGTCTTTCAGTTGCTGTGGATATAGCCATTGTTAAAAGGGAGATAGAAACGTACTACAGTACCTTTGGTCTGGATGATCCGTCCCTGCAGAAGCTCTGTGAAGGATCTGGGAAGACCATTGACGAATTCAAAAGTCTAATGAAGTCGCCACTGATTGGTGGGATAAACCCAGCTTCAATATTACCCTTAGCGGGTGCTGCATTTCTGGTTGTGGCTGAAAATGCAGTTGAGTATGCTGTGAGTCTCGTAGCCTTACTTGGCACTGTGGTGGCAGGAGGAATGTCCTATATGACCGTCTCAAAAATGCTGAGAAGAGCTCTGAATGACATAGCGGAAGATGCCAGAATCGTTCTAATGGCTTCAGTGCAGACTGAAGTGTAAACACAGAATGTGACAGAAATGACATGTAATCAAGTCGCAGCTGCTTTTATTCAAACTTGTAGCAAATTTCTGTTAGTTTTGAGGAATAATGCAGCATCATAATATGTTGCTACACTCATGATACATTACATTTAAAAACATTTATCACTTTACTGTTGTATTCAGTTCTTTTTTTATATGATATAGGGCAAACTTTTGACTATAGTTTCAATTTGATGCCATTTGAGGAACAATACTCCCAGTGCTTGTTTTGCTCATGAGTCCAAGATAAAGATCAGAACAGGATGGTCACATGTACAGGTTTTAACAGTTTATTAACAGTTTATTGAATGGCCGTAAAATCCAACCAAGTTTAGAGCAATGACAAATCTAAATGTTTTTGCTGCACCTGCAATTATATTTACAGCAGTTTTACAACATACTGTATGCATAGTAATAAATGATACAATTTCTATTTTATGTTTTTAAACAACACTGACTCACACTCGCTTACTAAAGCTGCAATCTCACTCCTACAGGTTTGCGCCACTTGACAAGTGTGTTTAATCACACACACACACACACACACACACACACACACACCTCTGCTCCTCAGTTTCTTCCTCTGTCATGCCGCATGTTTCTGCATCACTCATGTCTTCACTCTCATCTTTAATAAGCTTCATGTTTATGATAGTATGTGGCTAAATTATTACACCTGTAGTTTTCCTTCATCACGTTAGAGAGAATAGAAATAATCACTGTAAAGAAAAAGAAACACGAGTAAATCGCTCTTTCCCTTTTACGATTCACTTTATTCACACATTTTTTTTATTTAAATTTGACAACATTCACGACAGATTTGATCACTTATCAACACATAAAATATTAAAATATTATTACATTATTGAACATTTATGTTATGATACTAACCATACATTCAATAATATTATCATGCTGTTGGGAGCTTATCAGTCAGAAAAACTCGACCACTTTTGAACGTTTTGTGTTGTTTTATACGTCCTTATTACGAGAAAAAAATATGTATTTTAACGAGAAAAGATGTCGTTGTAACGAGATAATTATGTCGTATTAACAACATAACATCTCGATATTACGACATAACTGAGTGGGGGACAATATGTGTGTGGCAGCAATGCGTCACCATAGTTTTATACACTAAACAGTTTTTATACAGTCTATGCTATAAACACTGGAGCCGCGGCGTGGCCCGAATGACGTCACACGCACGTAACACGCGTCGGCTCGGAGAGGCAAATTAAAAGTCCACTTACTACACCGAAACAGAAGGTGTTGCTAGTAGCGACACATTTTTTTGAGTAGAAAAGCTGAGAAAATTAATGAGCTCATTACTACAGACTTTCTAATCAATGTTATCAATGCTAGTTATTTTTCCACAAGTCTGAGCATCGACATAAAGAGAAGCAGCAGAATAAACCAAACAAGTCTCTCGGGTTTTTAGAAAGCAAATATCTACCCTAGAGACTTTTATTGTTTCTGTATGAAACTGGCCTTATCAGGAGAGTTTAAGAGGAGATCAATGAAGCCATGACTGTACGCATTTTGATTTTTTGGGGGGTTTAGCCTAAACCAGGATTAGGCCATAGTTCAATTAGGACATTTAAAAAAATATTATAAACATGCCTTAGAAAAATGCATTACTGGTGTGCATTTTAAGACAAAACAATAGCACTGATATATTTTAAGATCAATCGGTGCAAGTTTCTTTCAGTTGAAACAGCCCAGAGTTACATTTTAGTCTGGGATTAGGCTTAAGCCTTGTCTGTGAAACCTGGGGATTGTGTGTGTGTGTGTGTGTGTGTGAGTGTGTGCGTGTGCGTGTGTGTAAATTGAGGCCGAGATACTGGTTTACTGTTACTAAAATCCCCAATAAAGAGTACTTGCTTGCACAATCTGACGAATGAGACACTGTTCTCATTCAACAGTTACAGATGAAATAGAGGAATAGAATTGAGCTGAATAATGACACTACTGTCTTCTGTAGAGCTGAAAGTCACGTTGTAATTAGAGCTGGATTTATTGTTTCCTCACTGAAGACTCAGCATTGGTGCTGTTCCTCTCCTGTTCATGTAATCTGGAGTAGTCTGTATCGTATAAAGTACTATATGAATAAATGTGA